ACCCCCATGTCGATCAGGATTTATAATAAATTGTAAATATAAAAGGGTCTACCCATTTGTACGCTTATATACATCAATAGATTTATGAGTTGCTTTTACAATTTTGGTAACTTTTATATCTACTACTAAAATTGAAATCAGTTATACGGAATATCAATTAAACTTATGTTTATTTACATATATTGAAGATATGGATCACTCAAATGATAAAGAGCTATGTCTGATAGACAGCGCCACAACGCACACCATTTTGAGGAATAAAATCTATTTTTCTCAAATGACTTTAGTTAAAGCTAAAGTCAATACAATATCAGGTGTTGCGAAGCTCATTGAAGGCTCTGGGAAAGCATATGTGATGCTCCCTAACGGGACAAAAATAATTATAAATGACGCTTTATACTCCAGCAAATCGCGGAGAAATTTATTAAGTTTTAAAGACATGCGTCAAAATGGTTATCACATAGAAACCATGAATGAAAACCAAAAGGAATATCTTTGTCTTACGACAACTAAACCTGGCACTAAATATATTTGTGAAAAATTGCCAGCATATTCCTCAGGACTATATTTCACTTATATTAGTCCATTTGAAATAAATTTGGTTTCTAACACAAAGTTAGATGATCAGAAAACATTCATGTTGTGGCATGACCGTTTAGGTCACCCAGGCCAAGTAATGATGCATAAAATCATTAAGACTTCACTTGGACACCCATTAAAGAATATCAGGGTTCCATTATCATGTGATTTTCCTTGTAAGGCCTGTTCTCTTGGCAAAATGATCATCAGGCCTTCTATGAACAAAATTGCAACTGAATCACCTGCATTTTTAGAAAGGATTCAAGGAGATATTTGTGGGCCGATAGCCCCGCCATGTGGACCATTTCGATATTTTATGGTGTTGATTGATGCTTCAACATGTTGGTCACATGTTAGTCTTTTATCGACTAGAAATTTAGCATTTGCTAAACACCTTGCTCAAATTATACGATTAAGAGCTCATTTTCCGGATCATTCTATAAAGAGAATCCGACTTGATAATGCAGGAGAATTTACTTCCCAATCATTTAACGACTATTGTATGTCGATTGGGATTGATGTGGAGCACCCTGTTGCTCATGTCCATACACAAAATGGTCTTGCTGAATCTTTGATTAAACGATTACAATTAATCGCTAGACCATTATTAATGAAGTGTAATTTACCTTCATCAGCTTGGGGACATGCTATTTTGCATGCAGCAAATTTAATTCGGCTTAGACCGACTGCATATCATGAATATTCCCCAATGCAATTAGTTACTGGACAAGAGCCAAACTTAGCACACATAAAAATATTTGGTTGTGCTGTTTATGTTCCGATTGCTCCACCTCATCGTACAAAAATGGGTCCTCAAAGAAGGTTGGGAACTTATGTTGGATTTGAATCTCCCTCAATAATAAAATATGTTGAACCGATGACTGGTGACTTATTCACCGCACGATTCGCTGACTGTCATTTCAATGAGACAGTATTCCCAACCTTAGGGGGAGAAACTAATAAATCGAACCCAATTACGAAAGAAATAACATTGAATGCAACATGATTGTCACACCTTGATTCTAGATCAAATATATGTGAGCAAGAGGTGCAAAAGATAATCCATTTACAAAATGTTGCAAATCAGTTGCCTGATGCATTCACAGATACAAAGAAAGTGACAAAGTCACATATTCCTGCTATAAATGCTCCTGCCAGAATCGAAATTCCAGCAGAGAATTCTGAAAAATCTCTTGCAATTGATTCTTCTATACGCAAAAAGCGTGGCATGCCACTTGGATCAAAAGATTTAAAACCAAGAAGAACTAAAAGGCATGAATTGATCTGTGATGCCAAAGATGTTCATCCTTCTGAACAAGAAAATGAACAATTTGAAAATACCGGCATAGAAAATGATATTGACAAAAAAACATCTCAAATAACGATCCAACTTCCTCAAATGAGGAAGATATTCCAGATACTGATAGAAACGTTGATAATTATGAAATTTCAATAAACTATGTTTCTACTGGAATGCAATGGAATCGAAAAGATATTGATATTAATGAGATATTTGTCTATGCCGTTGCCACAAATGTTATGAATGAAAACAATGACAATGAGCCAACATCAATAGAAGAATGTCGGAAACGACACGATTGGCCAAAATGGAATGAAGCTATTCAGGCTGAATTAAAATCACTTGAAAAACGTGATGTTTTTGGACCGATAGTCCCTACGCCAAAAGGCATAAAACCTGTGGGTTTTAAATGGGTATTTGTGCGTAAACGCAATGAGAAAAATGAAATTGTTAGATATAAAGCCCGACTTGTTGCCCAAGGTTTTTCTCAAATGCCGGGAATCGATTATGAAGAAACCTATTCTCCCGTAGTTGATGCAACTACATTAAGGTTTCTCATTAGCATGTCTGTTTTTGAAAGGCTCCAAATGCGCCTAATGGATGTAGTGACTGCATATTTATACGGTTCACTCGATACAGACATTTATATGAAAGTTCCCGGAGGATTTAAAATGCCTGAAGCTTATAGCTCGAAACCTCGAGACATGTTTTCCATTAAATTACAAAAGTCATTGTATGGACTAAAACAATCTGGACGAATGTGGTATAATCGTCTCAGTAGGGGGAGAAATCCTTCGCCGGAGTTTTGCCGGAGTGGGTTTTGACGTCAAAGAAAGAGAGGAGTTGAAGCTGCGACGCCGGTCTGTGTTGCTGAACTAGCGTATCCCAACAGATCCACCATCTTCGTCAGTCTGGTAGTCGTCTCCCGTTCAGGTAACGGTTCTCTGCATTTTTCATTCGCTCCGGCGTCTAGACGAAGAAGATGACTTCCGCCTGGTTTTATTCTCAGGCTGGATCTATTTTAAAATTGGGCCAGATATACTAATTTCTGGGCTGGACCCTTTTTGTTAACTGGCCTATACGAATTATCAACTACTTCTAATAATAATAATTAATCACAATAATAAATAATGAAAAATTGGTAATTAAATCTGGAATGAGAATATTGAAAGTTGAAAATGGATTAATTAGATTCAAAATAATTACGTGGATAAATTTATCACTTTTTAACTGATACAATTACGTAATGTTGAATAATGAAATGATTTGATTGTTTAATTAATCCAAATTGATAAACGATTTAGTATAATAAAATATTGATTATTTCGAACTTAGTACCTTAACTAGATTGAATAAATTGGCTACATATTACTTACACTAATTACTGGATTAATTGAAGTAGATTAACATAACTAAGGAATTCGGATATATTAAGTATTAGAGCAAAAGCAGGTTAAATATATGACTATTAGTAAACTCATAAGGATGTTCGGATATATTAAGGTGGATTAATAAATAAAGTGGTAAGATTAATGAATAACCTAGATTCGAACAATAAAATAAAGGGGGGAAATCGGGTAAATTTTTACAAACAGAATAAGTGGATGATTATGTCATCTTGATTAAAAAGGTGATTATTTAGAGACATGAATAGAGGAAGTGAACTAGGAGCATCATTTCCGAGGTAAGTTTCTCTGCCGATCCAAAATGTTTTCCTCGTATTATATGCTTATTATGCATTATGTGATTAAGTGTGAATTTTGAATTATGTGTATGTGATTTTGAGGAGATATTATATATATGGTAGTTGAGAAATACAAATTAATTAAGTACTTTTGGGGTATTAAATACTTTTAAATACCTTTAAGACTATTTAGAGAGATTGAGAAATATTTTTGGGAGTATATCTAAAGTCAAGATAAAATTTACGTTTTCATAAGTGAGCACCCGGGAGAAATCCGTGGTGTCGGTTTTCCACATCCGGATAAATGTGGAGGGTGATTAAGGCTGCTACTACTAAGAAGTACAGTTTGAGTTTGAAGTGACGTTTGGATCTATGATCCCTTTTAAGAAGAAGTTATAGTAGTAGTAGTCCCTAATCATTCAAGAATTTTAAAGGTGGGGTAGTTGGTAGACTGAGTCCCGGTTACTCGTGACGACTTACTACTCGGAGGGCTTGGAATCCCTTTTTGGGGGTGTGCACACTTAAGGTAGTCGTTTCGTTTCCATTAGCAGTTGTGGTACCGGCAAAAGTCCCGGGGTGGCCGTACATAACAACGTAACCACCGGGCTCAACCAGAGTGTTGAGCACCGCCCTTCTAAATTACTAGGAAGATAGAGAAGAAGTGAATTTTGAGAAATTCTAAGAGAAGAGTTACTATAGTATTTTCAACGAAAAGTTGAGGACTTTATTAAAGAAGTGATTTTGAGAAAAATCAAAGAGAGAAGAATTTTGGTAGAGTGTGTCATTTTTATATAATATTGTATAAAAAAAACTATTTTTCGCCAAACCTGATTATTATACGGGGTTGGGTAGTACTTACTTAGCTCCAAAGCTAATTTTTATTTCTTTTTCCCTGTTTTGTTTTCTACACTTTATTTGTGCAGGTAATGATGCTTATGTGGATTGATGATTTGCATGGTCTTGAGAGCGGTTGAGATATGCCTTAGTCAAACCTAGTCAAGAATTATTATTCAATTATGCTAAACACTTGTTTTACTTTGTTTAGTTTTGTGATTGCCTGTGCATTCGGTTAAGAGATGACCGAATGTGGCGGTAACACCCATTTCCCAATTAATGTTATTTCCGCTGCAAAACTTTTTTGAAAGAATAAATCAAGTTTACTGTCAATAAATCTATTATTTCAAGTATTATTTTGGGAGGGAAAATGGGGGTGTTACAAATTGGTATCAGAGCCTTTGATTTTTTTTAAACTGGGGATGTTTAAACAAAAACTTAAGTAAATATGGTTTCCAAAAAGATTTTATAACTTTTTTTTTGCGATTTTCTAAAAAATTTTTTAAAGCTAAATTTCTTAGACATATGAATTTTTTTTCCAAGAAGTTTATTTCTAAATGTTTTCAAAAAGCTTATGACAGATTTCCAAAAACTTTTTACAGGAAAAAAACAATAAACTTACGAATAATAATTGGACTAAGGAAATATTAAATTTAGGATCGTGGTGAGATTGTGAGATTTATATTTTTTTTGGAACTTGATATTAATTTGAAATAGGCACATTTGTGCTATATTCCTATATACATGTCTAGGAAAGACTTAAAACTAGTGAGGAGAAATCTATGATGTCGTATGGGCACATTTGCTCCTGTGTTTGATTTTGTGGAAAAAAGAAGAAGGAGAGATAGTAAGAGTGTCCTATGAAATTTTAGGATTATATATGCTTTAGGGACGAAGCATTCTTTCAAGGAGGGTAGAATGTGACACTCCTAAAATTTTTTAAAAAAAGATTTAATATAAACTAACACATGATAACTGCTAATTGTATACATGGATAATTTTCTTAACTTATGCTGCGGGACGAAACATCTTTTAAGGAGGGTAGAATGTGACACCCCGAAAAACTGTTAAAGAAAAAAAAGCAAGAACAAGAACAAGATGCTGCCTCTGACCCATCTTTTGTGGCTACGCCTATAACTTTTATTCCTAGACATATATTATGGAGAGAAAGCTGAGTGTTAGAAAATGGAGAGTTTATGACTCAAGAAAGCAAAGAAGTTGCAGAGAAAATTGTAAGTTATATAATAAATTACAATTATTATTGTGGACTTCATTATTATTATTATTATTATCATGATATTAATATTTGTAGCTTAAATTACTAATTTTCATGGAAATGCATATAGGATCAATTTGAGCAGCAAGCCCTTATGGGATAATTTACTGAAAGTGGAAGAAATGATATACTGATTGCATCACTGGGGAAACCAGAACATCCAGGTCGTGTTAGGGGCGTTGGAGGAGAAGTAACTATAACAGAATATTTTGGCCCCCAGTCTCGACGTGATGTGCAAGAAAATGATATACATTTTCTAACATTTATCCTTGGATGATGTGCAACAGTTAATTCACAAAGCAGTAACTGATACAGAATCCAGAGTTGCAAGAACATTTGAAACTCAAATGGAACAGATGGAAAGGAGGCAAAAAAAATGGAAGAAATGATGGAGAATATGATGTGTAATAATGCTAGTCCCATGTCTGTTGGTTCATATCAGAATGAATGCATAATTGCAAGTCCATATCCGAAGAGTGGAATAGCGAGCTGCCCGGATCCATTTGATAACCTACCTGCGGTACTTTAATGAAAATCATTATAATCTTTTTAGATAAAATTCTTATAGTTAACTATTTAATTTTTACTTCAAATTTAGACAAGGGAGAATTGCATATGCTACATCGAGGATCCTTTTAAACGTGTTGTAGCATATGGGAGAGTTTATAAGTTGGGAGGAATGCTGCATAACCAACCTTTATCAAAAGATAATGTTCGAGTAGTTGTTGATAAGGTCATTATTCCAGATGCTGTAGTACCCTACCGAAATGATGAGTTGCAAACTGTGAATGATGCACCCGGTCAATTTATTCCTTGGCCAAAGCTACTAGTGGAGTTGGGAACTAAATATGAGGTGTGTAATATTTCAATAGTTTCATACATTTATAGTAATGGTGACTCAACATTCTTATAATTATATGTAAGGTGCACGCACAGGTACAAACACGACGCAATGTAAACGGCCAAATGACAAAGCAGTCATCTTTGAATGCAAATTGTCCTTTATTTATTGATGTTACTAGCGTGCCTAGGGAGTTCGGTTTGACAAAAACACTAGCAGATGAGCTGCATGCCAAGGAGTGCATTGACATCAATATGGATTCTAATATCGTTGGAATACAATATGCATTCCACATTGATCGTGAAGAGATTTTGCGCTTTCTAAGGATGGAGACTATAGATTTGGGCTCTATGATGCTGTTTTGTATGTAAGTCTGTTTTCTATTACATTTAACAATAGAACTTGATTTGATTTTTTTAATCTTTGTGGTTAGGAATACTGTTTTGTTTTGTTATGTGATAGTAATTTATTTTTTATGATAGGTGTATTTACAATCACTTTGACTTGAGAGGAAGTAAAAACTATGGATTTTTATGTCCACGTATGATTCAAGAGAAGACAAATGACAGTGAAAGGGTTAGCTATCTTACTAGGATTCTTCTCAAGGGCACTAGAAATTGTTACCTATGCTAGCACCGTATCATCAAGGGTACTTTTTATATCATTAATTTCCATTGCTTTTATTCTTTTAATTGTGTTATAGTTTAACAGTTCCATATAATTTTTGTGAATAATTATCTTTCGTTTCCAGAAATCATTGGGCATTATGTGTTATTTGTCCAAATTCGTTCGAGGTGTATTGGTTCGATTCAATTGGGGGCAAACCTGCTAAGGACATTAAGCAAATCGTGGAAGTGTACGTTAAATGATATTTTATTTGTTTATATTTTGAAATAATTTATCTTAAAATATATAAGTTGGTAGATATTTGTATCGTGACTTGTGATGAGCAATATCTTCTATTTTATTTATTAAAAAGCAGATTTCAATATTGTAATTTGCAGTCCTTCTCTTTATTAATTGGTGTTTATATAAGATACAGGTCGTTCAAAGAAGCTGCTCTTCTAGGTAGAATATCGACAAATCGGTACAAGACCACAAAAAGCATCACTTGCCCAGTAAGTAGTTTATATTCACCTCACATTAGTTGTCTTAAATGAATAAATAAATGTGAACCACTATAATGCGTGGATTAATAAATAAATAAATAAATGTGAAAATAGGTATGACATAGTTAGTTCAATGGGAGGTTAGTGATGTTATTGTATGAACTTCTTATTCTTTAGTTGTTATATAATGTATTAATGATGAAAATTTTCACTCTGCCTTGACACATTGATATATTAACTTTATTATGTCATTATGTCTCAAAAGACTAAGAGTTTGAATGCTGTTTTATTCTTTAATTATGTTGTAGTGTCCAACACAAGTGGAGAATGTAGAATGTGGTTATTACGTCATGAGATTAATGCATGACATTATTTCTGGTCAAATGACACAAAATTTGAACAAGGTGATTTTTAAGAATGTTGCAAACAATATTTAATTGTATCTCAAATAAGAGATCTATGTATAATTAATAACTAACATTCTACTTGATATTTTTTTGTAGATGTTCAGCCGGTGTGATAAATATACAAGGGGTGATCTAGACGTTGTTCGTGGGTTATGGTGCAAAGCTATATGCAAATATAGTTTATGATGCGACGAAGTGGCTCCAGTTTATTTTTAAGTTGTCATGCAATATATGCAATATGGTTTGTCAGTGTGAAGTTGTTTTGGAGTCTGTAGAACTCTAACATGAATGCGTTGAATTGCAAGAGTAGAACTCTAACATGAATGTTTTGAATTGCAAGACTAGATGTTGTATGAGACAATTTGTGATGATCTTTGAATGAATCAGAATTTTGGGAACTAATTTAGTGTTTTGATGATCTTGTGTGGATATCATGTTTGTTCTAGGGATTGTATTTATTATCATGTTCAACTGAATGGTATTCTATTGAGGAAAAAAATGGTACTAGCCCTAAATATGATTTCTTTCACGTCGGTTTTTACTCAACAACTGACGTTATATATTATCTGAAATTAAATAAATACTTCACACGTCGGTTTTATAGAACAAACGACGTTAAATATCTCCGAAAACTAATATATATATATATATATATATATATATATATATATATATATATATATATATATATATATATATATATATATATATATACAATCATGTCGGTTCTTCGTTAAAACTGACGTGAAGTTATAGCGGGAAATTAAATCTTTTCGCGTCGGTTATATAGGATAAATGACGTTATATATGTTACGCAAAATACGAAATTACGTCTGTTTATTTAACAACCGACGAGGTAAGTAATTATATTTAATATTTAAAAAATTCTATAACGTCGGTTGCAAGACCGACGTAATAGATTCCTAACTGTAACGTCGGTTTCAGAACCGACGTAATAGCTGCCTAGCTATAACGTCTAGATATTCCTTGTCAATTACAAAACCGACGTTATAGGGTATAAATAACCGATGTCAAAACTCGTTTATGTAGTAGTGGGTGTTCATGAAATTTTCACGGAGTAATTCACGCATGATGGAATGTGCACGGTATACCCGTAATTCGATTGATTTTATTATCCTATGATCCCGTTTGTTTTTCGGCTGATTGATGTCTAACCGCTACAAAATGCAGCGTTTGGAGTTCAAAACAATCGGTGGATTGTTGAAACCACTACTATATATGTCAAGAACAAGAAGCAAATGTATAAATTAAACTAGCTAGCTAATACTCCGTATAAACTGACTTCAAGGATGTTGGTCTTTAAAATAGCACATGATTGAGGTCGCCTCGGGACTATTTTTTATTTTTGAAAGGGGTCGCCTCGAGACTATTAAGAGGCAGGATTGGAGAAGCGCCTGAGTTCTTAGAGTTCCCCTATTTTAGTTATTTTATAACTTGTCTTTCACCCGTGCGTTGCATGGGATTTGAAAGTAATCAAAATCAAAGTACATTAATGCGCGCACACATTTTGGGTATTTCAAAGGTGTAACATATTGTTTAGAATTTAGACTGTTATTGTCAATACAGGAAAAACGAAAGAAGGACCACCCAAAATATTGAAACTCCAAAAGTTGATATTTAAGAAGCCTAAAAACTTTCCGGCACGTGTCATACGGGAAATTGAAAGTAAAAAACTCATGTATACAATACACCTAGCTAGCTAACACCCTACATACCGGCACTACTAGAAAAATGGCTTACAGTGACACTTTTATAGTGATACTTTCTAATAAAATGCAATTACTGACGTCAAAGTGTCGCTACTTTGTAACAAAAATACATGAGGATCACCTAGTGACACTCTGACATTCTTTACGGAGTATATTTTTAAACACGCGTCACTACTCATATTACTTATGGGCCGGCCCAGACTTTAGTATACACATGCTCAACGCCTCGTGACTACATCTGCTCTTCTCATATTTCCTCTCTCGTTTCAGCCTTTCTTCAACTTTTCTTGGCCATGCCTCGTGACTACATTTGCTCTACGCCTCTACCATCTACTTTCTTCGAATTGACCACTGGTCATTACTCCTCCACCTTCTACCACGTATATGAGAAGCTTCATATCCAATCGATGGCGTTTCCTCTGCTAGGTGCGCGTGTGACCGCCGGACCTGACAGGGATAGGGTTGTCGTTTCCTCTGCTAGGGTTCCTCACCAATTGCGGGCCGGGTCAACTGCTGGAGTAATTCTTGTTTCGTGGATTACATATGCGCCGGCGGATGGTTGGCTTAGACGGTTGGATGATGTCGACACTCGTCTCCTCAGAACCCTCGCTCATCTTAACCGTATCCCCTTCTTGCATTCTCGGCTTGATATTTTCTCCCTGGTCAAGCAGTAGTCGTCTAAGCTCCCAGCATTCTCAGTACTGAGCGAACTTTTAGGTATGCAATTGATTTAGATTTTCTTCAATACCAGAGTCCACTACTGAGTGAACTGCTAGTTACATTTGAGATTTTCGTCATGTCTCTGTTTGTAGTTATATCATTAACTCCTTGAATACACTTTTAATTTGCTGTTATAGTGTGCTTATTACATCTTTACCCTGGTATGCAGATCATGTGCTTATTAAAATTATCGTGTCTTAGGCTCTTAGGTTTGTTGTATATTTGATAGATTTAATTTTCTAACTTGGTGCTCCACCGTACATCTTGACTTTTCTCCACAACCTGAGCAAGCGGGTGGACTGCAGAAGAATGCATGGCTGCCTGCACGCTGGTACAGAGAATTGGAGTCCGTCCATGAGGAGATCTACTTATGATATATATCTACTTATGATATATATAGTTTTTTGATGGCAATGCTTCGATATTAGCATCTGGTGCAAACTTTAGAGGAGATATTAATGTTCTTCATGTTGTCCAGGTATAATTCTGGACATTATTGTATTTTGAGCGAATGGGTTATCTACTCTTTTGCTTTTTCCCCCTATCAGACTGCATTTAAAAGGTTTCACATCTTTTGTCCAAACTTGAAATTGGAGTTCTCCTGAATATTAAAGCAAGTAGTCTTGAACACGTATCTAAAGCTATGTTCTTTAGAGGTCTTCTAAAGAAAACGTGTCTCTAGGCATTTTTCTCCCGAATATTTTTGTAGTAGGATTCAAGACTACTAATTTGGTGTCACTTTAGAGGTCTTCATGTCTCCATGTTAATTAGGATTAATAAATAATTACGTGTTCTCCTGAATTTTAAAAGCTCTCTGCTTCTGGAGACAGTGGAATGCCTGAGGTCGTTTGTAATCCTCAAGGAGATGTTTCCCAAATATTCCAAGAGTTGGGGGTATGTGTAGTACAATGATGTGCCAAAATCCGTCCACAAGGTGATCTTCATTCATTTCTTTTCTTTGTGTTTTCTCCCTTGAATTATGTTTGGATCCTGGGAAGTTTTACAGAAGCATAAAAATTGAAAAGTTGTATTCTTATGTTCAGGTTTACCTGGAGAAACACCATTCTGTTGGTTTTTTGTTAAAACTTAATGAAAAAAGAAACCAAGGATTATGAATTGATTGTAGATTCTTAACCTGCTTTCGTCTAGTCTACACTGCAGGAAGTTATGAGAAATCTATTAAGGCAATACGAGTGAGATGCCCGATTCTGACGAGGACTTAGATTTGCACCCTGCAACTGTAAGAAGAAATGATCAATCTGCTAAAAGTGTGGTATGTAAAGAAGTTCCTTTTAGCTTCTGATTTTCCATCGTCAACTCTAAGGCAAGTAGTCTGGAACACAAAGGTCTACATAAGCTATTTCTTAATAAGCATGCCAAGTCAAAACCTAAAGATAGTTTGAGGACGGGGTAGTAAATATGTTTGGTTCAATGGTGTGATAAAAATTGAAAAGTTAGTAATCCGCATTTTACAAAGATATGTAAAAGTATTATAATTGATATTCTTTTAGTTGCAATTAAAAACATACTGATGTATATGTAAAGCAACTTTCATTTTAAAGTTAAAAAGAAAATCAAAGAAAAAAACAATTAGAAATCCCTAAATTGGGGAGTGAGATATGAGGTGTTTGGAAAAGTTGATAGCTTTTTCGCTTTCCTCCCCCAACTAAATATGGACACATCACTCATCCACTTGCCCCAAGGTCCTCCAACCAAACAACGGTTTGTGGTTGATTTTAAAATATATTTGATGGAACACAGAGACCTTGCGAGCTTTGGTCCTGGATATACTGTTGGACACTGTCCTAGTTCTGGACATGGGCTGCTCGTTTTATCCATCGGTACCTGAACCGTGGCTGGTGGACACTGTCCTAGTTTGAGAATTGGGACAATGCCTGCCATGGTACCTGAACCATGGTTCCGTTGACTTGGAACTAGTGCGGTTACAGTCTGCAAAATAGGACCAATCTGACCAATTTTAATTTGAAAATTCTGTGAAAATTCAGTTTTGTAAAATAATTGGATGTATAAGTTCTCGAATTCAATCTATCAAAGCTTTTGCAACTGCTTAATATATGTCAGTTTCGTCCATGAGATGGTGATTTACATTTTATTGCAGGAAACTACTCAAGCAACGGTTTTCTTAGAGTTTCTTGCAATGGTGGCTTGAATCAAATGCGTGCTGCGGTTTGTACTCAATCTCGTATCCTTTTCTCTCTCTCATTGAACATGGCAGCGTGGTACCACCATCCAAATAAACCCTTCTTCCGGCTAAATCAAATACTTCTTTCCTTAATTTGTCAGAATCTAAGTAAATCTAAACTGAATAACTGATCAATTTGGTATTGCAGATATGTGACATGGTGACAATTGCACGATTAGTAAACTTAATGTTACTTGTGCCAGAGCTTGACAAGACATCTTTCTGGGCAGTTGGATTTGTTAGCGTTTTGCTCTTGTTTCTTTACTTATTGTTTTGGGATATGTCTCCCTATGAATCATGTAGAATGTACTTTCACATTTGTGAGAATTTGAGCTATTAAATAAAAGTATTTGAACTTTTGGTTATTTATTAGTATTAAATTATGATTGTAATCAATGTATCATGTGTATGATTTCATAGTATTAGCGTGTCATTGAGTTTTGTGATACCGTAGTGTCATTGAATTTTGTGTTACCGTAGTGTCATTGAATTTTGTGATACCGTAGTGTCATTGAATTTTGTGATACCGTAGTGTCATAATTTGGTGATACTAGAGTGTAACAATTTAGTGACACTTTTAGTGACACTTTTTTAGTGTCACAGAAGCTTTTAGTGACACTAATTTGGTGTCACCGTAAGACATTTTTCTAGTAGTGACGGGTAATTTTAAATCACCATTAAGAGTTCTTAGAGTCTTGCCCGATTAAAATTAGGACATGCTACTATTTTACAAAAATTCGCAAAGAAAT